GCTACCTGAGCTGTCAGTGCACAAAATTTCTAAGGAAGGTTTGGAGGAAAGGTGAATGCCTAGGTGCAGGTGTGAACTCATCATTTATTAATACTATACGTCCAATTTGGGGAAATCAGCTAAATGTAATTGCTTCTGAAAATTGGGGATAATATCACATATCTTTATAAAATATTTGTGAGGATGTGAGGTAATGTGATTGAAGAGCCTAGTAATAGGAAAACTCTAACAAATGGTAGTTTAAACCACAAAACTTAACTCTTGCAAAATTGGACAGTCTAGTTCATTTATTTTAAAAAATCATCTCCCCTGGACCCCACTCCGAAATCCTAAAATGCCTTGGTAGCCTGAGTGTAGAGAACATAATTCAATCTTTGAGACTTGGTAATCTCACATTGTCTCTGGGTGGCTATTCTTAAACGTGATTGTGGATTCGAACCCCCTTTGTGTTTCAGAGAAAATCAAGGCTCAGGGAGAGGCAGAGGCTTGGCCAAGGCCGTGCCAGCGGGATAGTGACACAGCCTCCAAAGATCGCTGTGCAGTTACCACAGCTACAGCAGTTAGGAGACTGGGCTGAGTGACATGCTGGAACCAGAATTCAATCTTAGTTTGGAACTGATGAGAACTTGTTCTACACACCATACTAGCAAATTTAAATCACACTAACAAATAACAGAAAGACTCTTTGGTCTCGGCGGCAGAAGCAAGATGACAAAGGGGACGTCATCGTTCGGCAAGCGCTGCAACAAGACGCACATACTGTGCCGCCAAATGCGGCTCCAAGGCCTACCACCTGCAGAAGTGCACCTGCGGCAAGTGTGGCTACCCTGCCAAGCGCAAGAGGAAGTACAACTGGAGTGCCAAGGCCAAACGGCGAAACACCACTGGGACCGGCCGCATGAGGCACCTGAAGATCGTGTACCGCAGATTCAGGCATGGATTCCGTGAAGGAACAATACCCAAACCCAAGAGGGCAGCTGTGGCCGCATCCAGTTCGTCTTAAGGATTTTGATCAGTCACGCAATAAATCTCGGTTTTGAAAACAAAAACAAAACAAAAACAAAAAAACCCCTCAAATAACAGAAGGGATTTAGGCTTGAAACTTCTTCATCAGTAAAATGGATAAGCAAGAATGTTGTGCACCTCTGGATTTTGGGTAAGAATCCTTTGGTACTGAGCAAAGTAAAGCAAAGACAGGAGGGACTGGATGAGTAAGGTTTCTTTCAGAATCATCAGTATATGGGCAAGAATTTCTAATATTCCAGCTCATGATTACTAAACAGGTATCATGTCCAAAAAATTTGTTGTCAGACAGCCCCACTGTGGAATCTCTCTGGGGAGGCCTCCTAAAGCACACGTTCACAGTTTATAAAGAGGGAGGAAGCTGCTCACTTAGCACCATAAAAGTTCTGCTAAAAGCTGCGGATCCTGGAGGAAGAGCTCTTGCAAGCATCAGCGCCCTGTGAATGAAAAACATTTGCCTGTGACACATTGTGAAGAAGCCAGAAAGTGTCCTGTCCCGTGGCTAGGATTTGAGAATGGCCACGTACTTGTGCAGTGTCCCCCCCAAAAAACTTAGGGCAATTTAGTAATCTAAAATCTAATTCTAGTAGTTCCTGCCAGACTTCCTAAAACCAAAGTCTTGATTCTTATTAGCAAATTTAGTAATTTCATCTCATTTCAAAATCCTTTCAATTAAGCCCTTTCTTTTTCATGACTAGAACGTGGAGTCACTGGGCTGCAGGGTAAGGAGAGAATTCAGGAGCCTGAAAAACTGCCAAAGGGAGACAGTTGAGCAGAGCAGCCAGAGATGGCTCTGCATTCAGTCCCTGGGATTCATTCTGGCTGTCACTTACTACAACTTGGGCAAGTTTCCGAATCTCACTCTGTGCCTGCTTTCCCTTTTATAAAATAGGAGTAATCAACAACGATCATCTCATAGGGTTGTGGAGAGTGGCTATGGCATGTGGATAGGTTCAAGACTCCGACTAGTGAGAAGGCACGGTCCTCTCATGGCAAAGTCACGTACAGGTCCCAGCTTGGAGGGCCAAGACTTTCCATCACAATTATAGCCAAAAGCTATGGTTGTAAGCTTGACCTTATGGTCTGAACCTGTGGTCCCAGGTGGCTGAGTGATGTAGGCTTTGGGAGGTGCACCAAGTACTGCCAAAACAAAGCTTGGTAGTTGATAAGAGTTCTCAGGTGCATGTAATTAAGTAGATCTGAAACTTGCAAGAACATTGTAAACATCTTGACCATGCCCTGCTTTGCCTTCTTGGTTCTGACTATAAAATAAAGACTTGGCTTGCAGGCTCTCTCTTCCTCTCTGTGAAAAATCAATAAAATATATTTAAAAAAAAAAAGTTTATGAAACACTGTAATTGACTCAGTAAACCACTAGGGGAGAGCACTGAAGCCACTGGTCCATGCTAGAAATTGCTGGGAGTATCTCTTGGGTTTGCTGTCTTCCTCTCTATAATAAGAAAGTAAAAAATTATGCGTTCTGCTCCTTTAGAATGTCCGGAGGGGAAAAATCCCCAAACATCTATTTATCTCAGCATAAATATGGCACATCTTGAGCATCTAATGGACAATGCAGTCACCAGGTATCTGCCTGTTCAGGATATCTTTTTAAAAGAAATATCATAAAACAGAGAAATCAACCAAAATCCTGCTTTTGATTCCAGAAAAATAGAGAATTCTTAGCACAGGTACCTAACACCCACTTGCCGAACAATGTAAAAGAGATTAGGATTACTTTCTAGAATTAGTCCAAGGACCTAACTGAACATTAGGCATTAAAAACTGGAATCTATGATCTTAAAAACAAGGACCCTCATAAAATAAAAAATATTTTAAACCTCTTATAAATATCCAAAGATAAAATATCTAGAAAAATCATGCCAAAACCGGTTTGGCTCAGTGGTAGAGCATCAGTCTGCAGACTGAAAGGTCCCAGGTTTGATTCCAGTCAAGGGCATGTACCTTGGTTTCGGGCACATCCCCAATAGGGGGTGTGCAAGAGGCAGCTGGTTGATGTTTCTCTCTCATCGACGTTTCTAGCTCTCTATCTCTCTCCTTTCCTCTCTGTAAAAAATCAATAAAATATATTAAAAAAAAATAATTTACCATCCGTATAAGAATTAGAAAGCACAGCAACTAGAGCTTGTATTTTAAAAAGAAACAGATGGTCCTGGCTGGTATGGCTGAGTTGGTTGGACGTCATTCAAGCCCCAAAAGGTTGTTGGTTCTATTCCCTGTCAGGGAAGATGCCTGGGTTGTGGGCTTGATTCCCAGTAGGGCATGTGCAGGAGGCAGCCAATAGGTGATTTGCTCTCACATCAATGTTTATCTCTCTTCCCCTCTCAAAAAAAAAAAAAAAAGAAAAGAAAAAAAAATCAATTAAAAAAGAAAAAAGAAAAAGGAAATTGATGGCAGGTATTACAAAAGAGTAGAAAAGATTCAAAGTAAGGAAAATACTTGGCTACTTCTAAGAATATACTAGAAACTTTTAAATATAAGCTACAATTCAGCAGCTTTTAAAATTTCATGTTTATTCATATTTTTCAAAATATATGTACATAAAAAAGGAAGATTTACAACAGGAAAGATTGCCTTACATGCAACACAAATTCCAATGAACTCATGATGGGATCACACATAATTATGAATTTAATTCAACCCAACTTTCTCAAGTCCATTTCCCAGCCACACTTCAGGCTGCAGACAGGATCCCAGGAGACAATGCCAGTGGAATGGATAAAACAAACATCTTGGCCTCTGGCAGCACTCGGGGCCAGAAGATGTACACCGAAAAGTTTAAGACAATAAAAATGTCAAGTGCCACAGGGAAGATAAATGATAACCGAAATCAATGTTTTTCAAGTAGAAAGCCAGTACTATTGAACACAACTTCACAATACTAAAACAAATACAAATAAGAGGTTAGGTAGTTTGGCTTCATTTAATTTCTTTAAAAAACAAAACAAACACAACATCTCAAAAAGGAAGCCACTTGCTTGATATCAAAAGTGCTGTGGAAAGGAGGGGAAAAGAACCCATAGATGAATCTGGAATCTATAGTTTATTTTCGCAAATTGTGTTTTCCCACTTAACATTTCTATGTTAGCAACAATGTAACTCTCCAACATTTCCTTATAAAAAGGCAAATAAGAAGTCAGAATTCATGCTCCAAATATTAAAAAATATATTTCAACATCTGATTTTATGTTTTGATTTTTTTTTTTAAACACAAATAACACCAGAAATCACAAATTATATTCTTATATTCCCCTTCAGTCCAAAACCAAGTGGTGGAGAGACCTTGTGCTTGCTGTTAAGGGAATGCAATACCCTGGGCCAGTGAGACACCTGCAAATCATCAAAGTGAGAGTGGCCCAAAGGAGTCCTGCATCTTCAGAATCTATGAGATCACATTTTTGGCTTATTCCCAAAGCTAAGACATCTCTGTGTTTACAGTCAGAGAGAAAGGGCTAGTGGAGTGGTTTATAAATAAGATGAACTATTAGAGCTGTAACTGGAGTCTCCAGGCAGGGGCTTTACAGTCCAGTGCTGCTCTGCCTCCCTCTACTTCCAGGACCTGACCAGCATTCTCTTCTCCATACCTTCTACAGATATAAAAATCGTTGTAACTGTTTAGATAAAACTAAGAGGGGCAAGAAAAGCCAAGACTGACCATTAAAAAAAAAAAAAAAAAAAAAAAGGTTGGGTGTAGGGGAAATAAGAACAAGTATAGATTATACAGTTCAGGAAAGTCCAGAATTATCGCAGAAATTAAAATGACTGAGGGAAAGAGCAGGCACCCAGAGCAGCGCCTAAAGCGAACAAATACCTAAACCGGTTTATTTATATTCCTTCTTCGCAAATTCAGAGGAGAGGGAACAAATGTAATTTAAGCATCAAAACTAAAATAAATGCACACTGACCTTAGAAAATAAGATTTTAAATTTCATCACAATACCCTTTTTTGCCTATAAAATTTACTTTTTTGCTTTGAAAGATTTCTTCATGGTGGATTTGCCCTTGGCAGGCAATTTCACTTCCTTTCGCGCACTAGCCGCAGGCTTCTTTGCAGAGCCCCCGCTGGGTTTCTTGATGACCGAGGGGGAGGGTCTGGCTTTCTTGGCAGGAGTCTTGGCCTTAGGAGGGGCTTTCTTGGGCAGGGGCCTGGCTTTCCCTCGCTGGGCAGCAGGGACTTTGGGCACAGGCTTAGCCCCTCTCTGCTTCATGGCTGCAGCCTTTCCCGATGCCTTGGCTGGGGTTTTCTTCTGCAACCTGTGAAACAGCAAAGGCAGTCACTTAGCACCTGAGAGATGCACTTTGCCAGGAAGACCAGATACTTCACGAAAAAAGAAATGACTACACAGAAGTCATACTTATGCTACGAACAGAAATGTAGCCCGGCCAGGTGGCTCTACTGGTTGGAGTGTCCTCCCGTACACCAACACGTGGCAAGTTCGATTTACAGTCAGGGCACTTATGCAGGTTGGGAGTTCAATCCCCAGTCAGGGCTAACAAGGGAGGCCAACTGTTGATGTTTCTCTCACACTGAGGTTTCTTTCTCTCACTCTTCCTCTCTAAAATCAATAAACATATCCTCAAGGGAGAACTTAAAACAAAAAAAGAATAGAAATAAATTATGGATATATTTAGAAGCTTGACCAAAGAGTAAATTACACATTCACAGGCTTTGTTTCTTAAGTTCAGAGCCTCTGAATTTTTAAGAATACAAGTTCAAATGTTACACTGAGGATGTGAGAAGGCTCCTAAGAAAGAGAGTTTTCACATATCCATACCTCTTAGGTGGAGGAGGCTCTTCATCCTCAGAGTCTTCTTCTGATGAGTCATCTTCATCCTCATCCTCATCCTCATCTTGAGACTCATCTGACTCTTTCTTTGGAAATAGAACTCCTGGGCTATGGGGGTAAAAAGATAACATGAAACTAGGTGTATAGTCTCTGAATATTCCCTATATTCCCCCATTTCCTCCAAGCTTCCCCAAAGATATCAAGTTAGGTTACAAGTATTGGGTTACAACTAAACTTATTTTGAACACACAAAGTTACGACAAATCTATAAATGTCCCAGACCATACCTCATTCCCTTCCTCTTTACATTTAATAAAAATGATCCTTTAAGAAACACACAAACAAAAAAGAAGACCACATTTTTATTGATTTAAGAAAGGAGAAGGGCATATAAGTACAACCAATGGAAAAAAAATTCTGGGGAGGGAGGGGATGTATGGAAGGAGGGGGCAATGTTAAAATATGTACACAGATGATGATTTAATAAAAAAAATATATATAACTATAAAAAACCCAACCAAACCACCAACCAAAAAAAAAAAAAAAAAAAAAAGAAAGGAGAAGGGGAGAGAAACATTGGCCGAAACCGGTTTGGCTCAGTGCATAGAGCATCGGTGATTCCGGTCAAGGGCATGTACCTTAGTTGCAGGTATATCTCCGGTGGGGAGTGTGCAGGAGGCAGCTGATCAATGATCTCTCTCATTGATGTTTCTAACTCTCCATCCTCCTCTCTTCCTCTCTGTAAAAAAATCAATTAAAAAAAAAAAAAAAAAAGAGAGAAACATTGATCAGTTGCCTCCAGTATGTATCCTGGCTGGGGCTTGAACTCCCAATCTGGGTATGTGCCCTGACCAGGAATCCAACCTGTGACCTTTTGGTGCACAGGCAAATGCTCAACCAACTGTGCCACAATGGCCTGGGCAATAAAGTTGATTCATCACATTTTATGTGTATGACTATAAGATTTAAAGTTTAATATTTGAAAATATCAAATAATATGCATTCAACCAGTAACACTTATGCTTGCACACAAAGAAAAAGAAAGCCCTGCTAAAATAGGGCTTTTGTGGTACATGTCATGAAATGTTACTAGAAATGTAAGTATAAGAAGGCTATATAGCATGGTGTCATAGAACAATGCTTGCCCCAATGGTGCTCAATACATTTTTTTGGCTCAATGAATAGATAACACAGGTTTTTGAGTAAATGTCCCTGTCTCTACTGTATGGAGAAGGCAGATTAGGATTCTTGGAAGCAGCCAATGTTTTCCCTACTTGATTGATGCAGGACAATTAAAACCCTCTATTAGCCTTCCTGCCATTATTAATTATTAAAGAAGGAATAAACATCAAAATTACTGCCAAGGATCACGAAGAATTCAGTACTTGATTTCAGGAACATGTGGTTAACAATAAGTTCTAGCAGGATAGCCAAAATTCCTCTGTTCTTACATGTAAAACTTTTTATCTAAAGCAATATTACCTTAAGTAGTCTTTATTTTCAACTATATTCAGTTCAGAGCAATAGTACTAAGGGTCAAATAAGTTAAGCAAGTCTGTAAACTACAATCAGATTTTAAATTTACAATGACCAATACTTCATATTATGGGCTACGTGTTCGTTTACCTGGGATAATAGGGAAAACAGAGTTGGAAGGTGCCGCTGAATCCTTTACCAGAGATTTGTTCCATCCACCCATTCTTTTCGCATTTCTGCAGGGTTTTCTTCAGCAAATGCACTGAAAAAAATTCAAAAATGAAGAAAGTGGTTTAGTTAAACCAACTTGGAAATTCTCTCAACCACAATCAGTTATTCATCAATTTAATGTCCTGTTATATACAGTAATTGACATATTTTAAGTGAATCCTTTGTGGTCAAAGGAATTAACTAATTCACTAAACAATTATTTTTTATTTTACTTTCTTTTCTCCCCCGCAACCCCCAACACTAATCAATTATTAAGGGCCATAATCTGGCAAGACTTCAATTATAGCCGAAACTGGTTTGGCTTAGTGGACAGAGCATTATTAGTGTTGGGGGTTGCGGGGGAGAAAAGAAAGTAAAATAAAAAAGAGGCAGCCGATCGATGATTCTCTCTCACTCATGTTCCTCTCTATCCCTCTCTCTTCCTCTCTGTGAAAAATCAATAAAATATATTAAAAAAAAAGACTTCAATTATAATGAAAAAGATTTTAGAGACCACCTAGTCCAATTCCTAATTTCACAGAAAGGAAACAGAAGCCCAGAGTGGTGACTTGCCCACAGTTGCACATACAGAGGTGTGCAAAATAGGTTTATACCTTTGTATATAGCTGACATAAGACTACTAAAGGTCTGGTGCATGAAATTTGTGCAAGGGGGGGAGGTGCCCCGCGCCCCGTCCCCCCTCAGCCTGGCCTGCACCTTCTCTCAATCCAGGACCCCTCAGGGGATGTCGGGCCTAAACTGGCAGTCAGACATCGCTCTGGCAATCTGGGGCACTGCATGCACCAGTGACCATACTTTTCATACAGATGAAAGGCATCATGCTGTTGTATGGGTAGCTACATTTAAAAAAATATATATATATATTTTATTGATTTTTTTACAGATAGGAAGAGAGAGGGATAGAGAGCCAGAAACATCGATGAGAGAGAAACATCGACCAGCCGCCTCCTGCTCACCTCCCACCGGGGATGTGCCCGCAACCAATGCACATGCCCTTGACCGGAATCGAACCCGGGACCTTTCAGTCCACAGACCGACGCTCTACCACTGAGCCAAACCGGTTTCGGCAGCTACCTACATTTTTTTGCCCTGATTATAAAAAGTAACATGATCCTTCTGAGGCAGTAGTACCATTTCCCCCATCTTCTGGGTGGAAAAACTGAAGCAGAGAGAAGTTAAATAATTGGCTTTGTCACACAGTTATAAGTGTCAGAATCAGGGCTGACCACAAAATGTGCAAGCCAGAGTCCATGCATGTTGTCATCACTCATCACCCTTTTTTTCAGAGTTAGAGTAGCGCTGCTAGGTTTTAACGGTTAAACCTAAGAGACTGTTCCCAATATACAGGGTAGGGTCCCTGGGCCTGGCCGGAGAACAGGGTCATCTGCGGGGCAACCGGTGGGCTCCCACTGACACCGCCTTGGTGTCACAGTGACTGGTTGTTCCGCCGTTTGGTCAATTTGCATATTAGGGTTTTATTATATAGGATTTCCACTCATCCAAACATTTATTGAGTACCTATAAGACTAGATAATCATGTAGGAGACTACCCGTAAAGGTAAACAAAATCCATTTCTTCTCAATAGCAAAGAGTAACAGCACAATACCATGGCTCCTGAAGGCTTCCCTATTGCTATCTTTCACACAGACACATCAAAATGTATTTTATAGGATTCAGTGTCTAAAAGACAACAGCATCAGTGAAATTGAAAAAGTTAGTAATCAATTTCATCTTTTACCACTGTGCCAAGAGAAAAATCAAAGTAAGGAAAGTTTATTTTAAAAACCAGTTTCCAAAGTACACAAGAAAAAAACCACCAAAAAGCATTCCTTCATGATGTTAAAATACACATATTGCACATGTGTTAAAAAGCCATTATTAAGACTTCAAAATTACTTTAATATATTCTAGTATGCATTTTCTGTTACTCTTAACTTGCACATTCTTCATCCTATACTAGTGGAACTTTTCTATTAGTTCACTGAGAAAATGTATTATCTCACTCATCTGTATGTAGTAATGCTACTAAAGCAAGGATTCCTGTCTCAAATTATCACCTGACACATATTTGGTAAATATACTTTACCAAAAATTATTTTCTGCTACAGAGTTTGTATCAATAAAAAAATAACCTAAGTAGCCCTGGCTGGGAGACTCAGCTGGTTGGAACGTTGTCTCATACACCAAAGGATTGCAGGCTTGATTCCCAGTCAGGGCACATACCTAGGTTGTGGGTTCAATCTCCAGTCCAGTACAGGAGGCAACTGATCAATGTTTCTCTCTCACATCAATGTTCTCTCTCTCTCTTCTTCTCTCTAAATGTACCTTCAAGTGAGGATTAAAAGAAAAAACCCCACAACAAAACGTATTTTAAAATACTGGTTTGGTTTCAAGGTAAAATTAGATGTTTTGGTCAACATTCACAAGACAGTACACTTGAGAGATGTTTTGATCCTAGAAATTTGTCTAAATTATAATAAAAATATCAGAAAAAGCACTAGCTGGTTTGGCTCAGGGGCTAGAGCTTTGGCCTGCGGACTGAAGGGTCATGGGTTCAATTCTAGTCAAGGGCACATGCCTGGGTTGTGCTGGATCCCCAGTAGGGAATGTGCAGGAGGCAGTCAATCAGTGATGTTTTTATTTCTCTCTCTCTCTTCCTCTCTGAAGTCAATAAATATATATTTTTTTAAATAAAAAAAATCTTTATAGCAAAGTACAAATTCTGATCTTTTTTTTTTTAAATGTATTTTATTGATTTTACACAGAGAGGAATTGAGAGGAACAGAGAGTTAGAAACGTCAATGAGAGAGAAACATCGACCAGCTGCCTCTTGCACACCCTCCACTGGGGATATGCCCGCAACCAAGATACATGCCCTTGACCGGAATCGAACCCGGGACCTTTCAGTCTGCAGGCCGACGCTCTATCCACTGAGCCAAGCGGGTCCCGGCACAAATTCTGATCTTTAACAAACATTGTAAGTTAAAGATATGCCTTGATTGTCTGTTTTTCTTTTTGTAAATAAATTAAATTTGTAAAGCTGTTGTTCCCTCTTGGTTTTCAGTGGGCAGTTGTTTTGTCATTAGTAGCATGATCTAGGGATTTCTCACAAATGCAGTAATCCTGGTAAAATGCATACGACTCCGAGTCTTACTTTGATAGTTAGAATTGGTCCCTGGGTGGTTCTCCAGGACATACTTCTTCAGAGCCGTGGTGGAGCAGGTCTTCGGCTCATTCATGGCAGCAATGGCAGACAAGATTGCATATTCCATCATGCTTCCACCAAGCAGGGGTTTCTCCCCTGATTTCTTCAGCTGTTTTCCAAGGAGGAAGAGAAAAGCATCAAGACAACACTCTCCCAAAGCAGGTCAAGACAAGACTCCTCTGCACCAGGTGGGTCGGAGTTCCTGCATTAGCACAGATATGTTTTACAATAAATTGTCAGGTTAGGGACTTTCTCTTCTCACTTATCAGGTATTCCATCTAACTGAGGAGTCCCAACCCTCCTCTGAATATTTTCACTTTCTATCTACCCCTCCATCCAACCTAAAATAGCAATGGCTAACCCAGAGAGAGAGACAGCTCTAACCCAATAAGCAGGTTAACTTAAGCTCCCAATAACTTGGATGCTTTTGAGAATACTTCCTTTATCTGAATCTGAAAAATGGAGCAGTTATAAAAATAATAAACAGCCTTTTTAATCCTATAGGAAAATAGCAAAACAAAAGCTTGACAATCATACAATAGAAATTTACACAGGATAGCTGAAACCGGTTTAGCTCAGTATAAAAAAAAAAAGGTGTTATCAGCCAAAACCGGTTTGGCTCAGTGGATAGAGCCTCGGCCTGCGGACTGAAAGGTCCCAGGTTCGATTCCGGTAAAGGGCATGTACCTTGGTTGTGGGTACATCCCTAGTAGGGGGTGTGCAAGAGGCAGCTAGTCGATGATTCTCTCTCATTGATATTTCTAACTTTCTATCCCTCTCTCTTCCTCTCTGTAAAAAAAAATCAAAATATATATTAAAAAAAAAAAAAAAAGGAAAGAAAATTACACAGTATAGTTAAAGGACAAAAGGTTAGGGAACAAAAGTGAGGTAACCAATAAGCAAAAATTTACCATAAAAAGACAAACTTGAGCCAAGACTGGTTTGGCTCAATGGATAGAGAGTCGGCTTGGGGACTGACGGGTCCTGGGTTCGATTCTGGTCAAGGGCATGTACCTTGGTTGCGGGCATATCCAGTGGAGGGTGTGCAAGAGGAAGCTGATCGATGACTCTCTCTCATCGATGTTTCTAACTCTCTCTCCCTTCCTCTCTGTACAAAATCAATAAAAATATATATTTTTTAAAAAAAGACAAACTTGGGCATCGTACACAATAGTGATTCTCAAAGAGTGGTCCACAGACCCCACAGGGATCCTAAGACCCTTTAAAAGGATATGCAAAGTCAAAACTATTTTCATAATAATACTAAAATGTGATTTGTCCTTTTCGCTGTGGTGATATTCGCAGATGGTTAAAAAAGTGATGGGTAAAAACTGCTGTCTTACCACAAATCAAGGCAGAGGCACATGAACTAAATATATATATATATATATATATATTTTTTTTTTTTTTTTTCAGAGAGGGAGAGGGAGAGCTAGAAACATCAGGTAGAGAGAAACATTGACCAGCTGCCTCGTGCACACCCCCCACCGAGGATGTACCCGCAACCAATGTATATGCCTTTGACTGGAATCGAACTTGAGACCCTTCAGTCTGCAGACCAGTGCTGAGCCAAATCGGTTTTGGCTACTTTATTCTTTTTCAAAAGTATTATTTTTATTGATTTTGAGAGAGAAAGGCTGAGAGAAAGAGAAATATTGATGTGAGAGCATAACATCTACTGGCTGCCTCCTGCATGCCCCTACCGGGGATCAGGCCCACAATTCCAGTAACCCTTCCATGTAAGGAACAATGCCCAACCAACTGAGCCACACCAGCCAGGGCAGTTATTTTATTCTTTATGGCTACACACTTGTGGTTAAAAGAAAAAAAAAGAAAAGGCCACTTTCATTTAGGAATGTCCTTGATGAAGTGTTACAAATTATTTTATTAAATCTCAATCCCAATACATGTCTTTGATATTTTATGGGATGAAATGAAGAACACATGGCAGTAATGTATATATGATGGTGGTCTCAAAGAAAAACACCGGTGATTATTGGAGATGTGAGCTGAACTAGCTACATTTTTCATGGAATAACTTCTTTAAGAAACAGCTAAACTATGGTTATTGAGAAACAGATAAACTATGGTTATTGAGACTTAGGTACCTGAGTAGACATTTTCTTAAAAATAAACAGTGAACTGTCATTTCGAGGAAAACAACAGTAGTTCTTATCAATGATAATATTAAACTTTTTGAGAGAAAATTTAAATTGAGAAAACTTGTATCTACCACTGTTAGCTTGGTAACTTCCTAGTACTTAATATTGTTCTGATGAGATCAGTGGGTATTACTAACGAATAGGATTTTTGTTATAGATGAAATGAGTCAGCATTTAAAAAATCTGCAAAATTCAGTGAACCACTATTTTCCAAATAACCATGTTATAAAATTACGCATGCTTAAAAGATCCAAAGTTCAAGACAGACCAAAAGATTTTAAGGTAACAAAGTACAAAAAGTTGACTGATATTTCAGGTTCCATATAACAACTAACCTCTTTAAGGAATGACCACAAAATCAATTAATGTAATAAGAATTACATATTAACAGAATAAGGAACAAAAACCACACGATCATCTCAAGAAACATAGCAAAAGTATTTGACAAATGCAATTAACCACTCATAATAAAAACTCCAATGAACTAGTACCAGAAGGGAACTTTCTCAACCTGATAATAGGCACATATATGAAAAACCTGTAGCTAACTTAATGGTAAGACTAAATAGATGAGGATGTCTGCTCTCATCACTACTAGAGTTTCTATCTAGTGTAATCAGGAAAGAAAGAAACAATTCAGATAGAAAAGGAAGAACTAAAATGGTCTTTATTTGTAGATGACATAATCCTGCATATGTAGGAAAACCCTAGGGAAACCACACAGAGTCCTAAAGAATCTACAGAAAAACTAGTATAATTAGTAAATGAGTTCAGCAAGGTTGCAAGATAAAAGATCGTTAGATAAATTAACTATATTTCTACAGGCTACCAATGAACAATTTGAAAACTTTAGAAAATTCCATTCACAACAGCATGAAAATATTTAGGGAAAAAATTTACAGAAGAAATGTAAGACATGTGAAAACTACAAAATACTGCCAAGAGAAGTTAAAAATCTAAATAAACAAAGAGACAGTTTTAATGGATTGGAAAACAACTTTGTAAAGTAGCGATTCTCCCCAAATTGATCTATAGGTCCACTGCAACCTCTACAAAAATCCCAGCTGGCTTTTTGTAAAAAATTGAGAAGTGGATCCTAAAATTCATAAGGCAATGCATAGGTCACAGATTAGTCAAAATAGTTTTAAAAAAGAGAAAGAGAATTTACATTTTCTAACTTCACAATTTAACTACAAAACTGCAGTCACCAAGACAATGTGATTCTGGCGTAAGAACTCACATAGAGATCAATGGAACAGAAGTTGAGTATTCAGAATTAAAACCTCACAACGGATTTAAAAAATATTTTTTTATTGATTTCAGAAAGGGAGAGGGAGAGATAGAAACATCAATAAGAGAGAATCACTGATCCACTGCCTCCTGCATACTCCCTTTCTAGGGGACCAAGCCCTCAACTTGGGCATGTGCCCTGACCAGGAATTGAACCTTACCTCCTGGTTCATGGTTGATGCTCACCTGCTGAGCCTTACCAGCAGGGTGTCAACTGATTTTTGGTAAAGGTGCTGAAGCAATTCAATGAGGAAAGGACAGTTTTCAATAAATGGCACTAGGACATTTGGATATCCATATACAAAAAAACATACCCTTACCTTACATCATAAATGAAACTTAATTTAAAAATGATCACAGACCTAAATGTAAGCACTAAAACTATGAAGTTCTTAATAAAAAATATAGGAGTAAATTTTTGTGACCTCAAGTTAGGCAATGGTTATTTAGATACAAAAGCACAAGCAACTTAAAAAAAATGATAAAATTATTTTTATCAAAATTTAACACTTTTGCCCTTCAAAAGACACTATTAAGTAAAGTGAAAGCAGAGGCCACATACTAAGAGAAAATATTTATAAATCAGGTATCTGTTGAGGAACTTGTATCTAGTTCTATAACTCTAATTCAATAAGACAACCCAATTTTAAAAACAGGCATAGGATCTGGATAGACATTTTACCAAAAAGATAAATGTCCATTAAGCACTTGAAAAGATGGTCAACATTAGTACTTATCAGGAAAATGCCTGCCCAAACCACAGTGAGGTGCCTTGAGGTAACCACTAGTATGGCTATAATAAATGAGACAAAGATAGGGAGAAACTAGAACCCTTATACTAGATGCAACTACTCTGGCAGTTCCTTAAAACATAAATTTACTATATAGTTCACACTTCTAGTTATATACCCAAGTGAAATAAAAACACACACCCACACAAAGATTTGGACGTGCCCTACCCGATTTGACTCAGTGGATAGTGTGTGGGCCTATGGATAGAAGGGTCCCGGGTTTGATTCTGGTCAAGTGCACATGCCTAGGTGGCAGGCTCAATCTTCAGTGTGGGACATGAAGGAGGCAGCTGATCAATAATTCTCTCTCATCATTGATGTTTCTATTTCTCTCTCCCTCTAAAATCAATAAAAAATATATTAAAAGAAAAAGGAATATAAGTATTTCAAGCTGCAACATGAATAAAACTAAAAAAGTGTATATTAAATAAAAGCCAGTCACAAAAGACCATATATTGTGTCATCTCACCTATATGGAACTTGTAGAAAGGCAAATCTATACAAGAGAGAATAGATTAGGTTGGCTGGAGATGGGAATGGGGAGGGACTGCAAATGGGCAACAGGGGTCTTTTTTGGGTGATGCAAATGTATCAGTAATGGTTGTGTAATTCTATAATCTACTAAATGTACTAAACATGAGTGAATTATAACATTTAAGTTAAAATAAGCATATCTTATGGTTTGTACATCATACCTTAAGAAAATAAACTATTAAAAAAAACCACACACAATCATTTGTTGAGTTTGAGTATGGAATAATACCCACAACTATTTGAAAATTATCTTTCCCTAACTGATTTGGCTCAGTGGATAGAGTGTTGGCCTGCAGATTGAAGGGTCCCAGGTTTGATTCCAGTCAAGGGCACGTCCCCTATAGAGGGTGTGCGGGAGGCGGCTGATAGATGTTTCTCTCTCATCGATGCTTTTAACTCTCTATTGCTTTCCCTTCCTCTCTGTTAAAAAAAAAAAAAAAAAAAAAAAAAAAAATCAATAAAAAAATACGTATGTTATATATATAATTATCTTAAAATCCTTCCTCCTTTCAAAACTATTTGTTAGACTTTCTTCATAGACTTAACCCAAAATATACTGAAAATAAGTATCAGTTATCTTCTATTCAGTTAGACATTAAAGACTTTGCAAAAATCTATCTAACAGTGCCTCCTCTTTTCATATGGTTTTCAAATATATATATATATATATATATATATATATATATATATATATATATGTATCTATCTTTACTAATTTTAGAGAGAGGAAGGGAGGGGGAGGGAGAAAGAGAAACAATGACGTGAGAGAACATGGATCCACTGGGACCAAAACTGCAACCTGGGTATGTACCCTGACCAAGAATTGAACCTGCAACCTTTTTTTTTTTAATTTAAAAAATATTTTATTGATTTTTTACAGAGAGGAAGAGAGAAGGATAGAGAGTTAGAAACATCGATGAGAGAGAATCATCAATCAGCTGCCTCTTGCACACCCCCTACTGGGGATGTGCCCACAACCAAGGTACATGCCCTTGACCGGAATCGAACCTGGGACCTTTCAGTCCGCAGACCGACGCTCTATCCACTGAACCTGCAACCTTTTAATGCATAGGACTACGCTTAACCAGCTGAGCCATACCATATAGGTTAGGGCTCATTAATTAAAAAAAAACAAACACCATATAGTTATTTTTCTATGAAAATGTGATGTTAATTTAGTGGGTTTATTTTTCATAAATGATTAAAATTTTCTTTTAAAAAATGATCATTTAAAAAAAATCTGATGAACAATAGTAACTGTTGAATATAATAGAATCAGAGGTATGGAAGGGGAGTGAACTGACGATCCTTGGGGAAAAGGGGACTGGGGTGTGTGGGAAGAGACTGAACATAAACTGTGCACCTATGGATGAGGACAATAGGGAGTGGGGAAAGGGCAGAGGGTGGGGTGGGAACCTGGTGGAGGAGAGCAATGGTGGGGGGGGGGGGGGAGGAACATTTGTAATAATATGAACAATAAAAACTTATTAAAAAAATAAAATAAAAATAAAAAATGATCATTTTTTATTTATTTTCGATTATAAAATTGGTTTTTAGAAAGGGAGAGATAGACAAAGAAACATCAATGATGAGAATCATTGATCAGCTACCTCCTGCATGTTCCCAACTGAGGATCAAGCCTGTAACCTGGGAATGCGCCCTGACCAGGAAACTGAACCAGCAACCTTAATGCATGGGAAGACACTCAACCAAGCCACAGTGGCCAGGGCTGAAACCAAAACTTTTGAGAACCACTTTGTTACAACCAAGTGTTTTTGGCCTCTAACCTGGAATGTTCCAGAAGCACCTTTACCAGTTATTTGTTCTAACTGGCCTCTTTCTACTGCTCTCTGCAGAGCATTCTTCAACAGCTGAGGCCTGCAGAGAAAACAAAAAATAATGGTAAATATACAGATGAAGAAAAGATTTGAATATATCCAAGGTTATTCTTTGAACTAAAGTTCTGATTTCTATTACACATAATACTTTGTTAAAAAGGACAATAAAGTAATAAATTTAACAAATGGCACCCTTAGCAAGTGGCATTCTTTTTCTTCAAGCAAGGATGCTAAGTCATTACCTGTACATACGGACCAGTTTCCAAAATGTTAGGGCATTCCAAAAACCTATCATTTATTATCAGATCACAATAGCAATCAAATTGTATAATCAAGCAAAGAATGGGTATCTTTCTAAGTTCTATCCAATTCTAGAATTCTCTGAGGCAAAAATTCCTAACTGGTTTTAAAAATGTATACACACACACGCACACACACACACACAAACAAAAAACAAATGAGTCACTTTTTACAAACCAGTATCTAGAAGTCAGCTTAATAAAATACAACTTCCCGAGAAACAGAGTAAGTTGTTTTTAACAGTCTATATCTGTCCTGAGACTTGTTATTAACAAACAAAAAACAGAAGTTATCAAAACTAAATGGCAGGCAAGAAGAAACTGAGTATCATTAAAAACAAGAAAAATAACAGATGAACAAAGTGTTGAAGCAAGAGCTGTTCTGTCAAGGGGCAGTGGCCTGAATGGCAGCTGGGAACTTGAGGTACAGGGAGAAAACAAGTTGACTTAGGACTTAAAGGTATGTGATATGGAACAAGACAGTGAAATGGAAAGCTTTATGTCTGGGCCAACAGGAAGAAAGGCTTAATCACAATCCAAAAGCTGGTGGCACACCTCTCAAGAATTACTAGAATAGCCCCCACATGAGCAGAATATCAAGCAACTTTATTTGAAACTGGTTAGCTGCTCATTAGACAGAAAAGATCAGTGGGGCAGAATAACAAGGGTCCCACTATTATCATGTGAGGTGCATCATTGAGTTTTGATCTTTTTCTTTGGATAGAAATTTTGAATCTTTTTAAAATTTTTATTTATTTATTTATTTTTGCTAATCCTCACCCGAGGACACTTTTCCATTGATATTTAGAGTGGGAGGGAGGGGGAGAGACAAAAAGAGAAACAAAGTGAGAGAAACACTGATTGATCAGCCTGCAACTGAGGTACGTGCCCTTGACTGGAATCGAACTTGGAACCCTTTTCAGTCCACAGGCCAAAGCTCTATCCACTGAGCCAAACTGGCTAAGGCTGAATCTTTTGTTAAAAAGTATGTTTTTACTGATTTTTAGAGAGGGAGAGTGGGAGGTAGAACTAGCAGTAAGAGAGAAACATCTATTGGCCACCTCCTGCATGCCCTCACTGGAGATTAAGCCTAAAATCCAGGCACATGCCCTGATAGGGAATTGACCTGGTGATCTTTTGTTTTATGAGTTGATGCTCAACCACTGAGCAACACTGGCTGGGTAATTGTGACTCTTTTATAACCACAAACTATTACAAGCTGAGCTGCTATAGTTATTAATGGCATCATCCATTTGCTTGAGGAAGAAGAGTGGAAGGGATCCCCCATGTTTTAACAGGATGCTATAGAGTAGGAACTATACCATCAAATCTTATACACCTTGACACTTCAAATTAGAAAATCCCAATAAAAATAACTCCCAATGAAAAAATTTCTTTTTATTTTATTTTATATTTTTATTGATTTTGTACAGAGAAGAAGGGAGAGAGCCAGAGAGCTAGAAACATCGATGCGAGTTATCGATCAGCTGCCTCTTGCACACCCTGCACACCGGGGATATGCCCGCAACCAAGGTACATGCCTTTTGACCGGAATCGAACCCGGGACCCTTCAGTCCCCAAGCTGACGCTCCATCCATTGAGCCAAACCGGTCTCAGCCCAATGAAAAAATTTCTAAGCCAGTGTAGTTCTATTGAAGAGGAACATTATTTATGCTAAGACCCAAAACATACACATTCTCTTAAGTTATTCATCCCACAAATATTTATTAGGTACTTAGTATGGTTACGCAAGAATAAACACATAGATTTGGTCATTAAATTCAAGGAAGTAAGGAGATAATGAATACATAATCAAGTTAGAGAATGATAAGGGTCAGGATTAAAGTATGGGCATAGAGTTTTGGGAACATAGAGGGAATAATTTAACTGAGTTTTTCTATTACTTGCTTTATAGTTAGATTGCTTAAAGGCTGATTATTTTTTATTTTATTTTTTAAAATATATTTTATTGATCTTATATAGAGAGGAAGGGAGAGAGATAGAGAGTTAGAAACATCGATGAGAGAGAGTCATCGATCAGCTGCCTCTTGCACACCCCCTACTGGGGATATGCCCGCAACCAAGGTACATGCCCTTGACCGGAATCGAACCCGGGTCCCTTCAGTCCCCAAGCCGACGCTCTATCCATTGAGCCAAATTGGTCTTGGCTTAAAGGCTGATTATTAATGGGGGCAATCACAGCTTAAGTAAAACACTGAAACCTTGACTCTTTTATTAAATGAAATAACTGATCTGAAAATAATCTTCCTAACCTAGGTTCAAATGCTCCAGGAATGAGTATCAGTTAAATTATTCCCTTTAGCACAAATTATGTTAGCATATACCTTGTCCTAGGCAAGAATCCCATCACTCAGAGTTCTATCATTCCTATCTTCACATAAAACTTATTTACCAACTGCTTCAATGATTCTCAGATTGGCCCCCTCTCTCTAATCACTGCCATAGCCTTAATACAAGCCACCATGCCCTCTTCTCTGGACGCTGTGCTGTTGTTTTCACACTGCACTCTACTCTAAAGTCAATATGCCTACAAAAACGTTTGCTTGCTTGTTTATTTTTGTTACTCTTCATCAGAGGATATTTTTCCATAGATTTTTATTATTTATTTTAAAAAATTGTTACCTGAGGATATTTTTTCCATTGATGTTTTAGAAAGAGTGGGAGAGGGAAAGACAGAAATATCGACGTGAGAGAAAGACATCCATTGGTTGCCTCCTGCATAAGCTCTGACAGGGGAGAAGCCTGCAACCGAGGTACGTGCCCTTGACTGGAATTGAACCCAGGACCCTGCAGTTTGATGCTTTAACCACTGAGAAAACTGGGTAGGGCAAGATATATCTTTATTAATGTTACTCAACAGAACAGGTGTCAGGTATAAATGCCTCAATCCAGCTCCAAAGGCTTTGGTGACAGGGTCCCACCCCTTGTTAATCTAGATCCAGTCAGACCCAGGCTTCTTTCAGTTCCCCAAAAGAATGCCAACCCCTGCCTCTGAAATTTTCTAATGAAGCTCCTTTCCCACCCTTTTCTTCTGTCACCCATTGTCAGTCATCCCACTTAATCCTACACTTTCGTCTAGACGTAATCGATGCCCATGTTTTTAACTTACTACTAACTCCTAGGCACAGCTCTTTTCTGAAAAATTCTCTAATCTATCACTCATCATATTGCGCCAAGTGCTGTTCTAAATAAATAACACAACCACCCCCCAAAATAGATACAATTATTTCCCATACTTTACTGAAGAAGTGACATAGAAAAATCAAGTCATTTCTCCAAGGTCACATAACTAGGCAGTGGAAGAACCAGGTTACAAAATCAGAGACAGAAAGTAGAATGTGGTGCCATGTCTGGAGGAAAAGAAAATGAACAGTTCTTGCTTAACAGGTACCAGGCTGCAATTTTTTTTTAAAAATATATATTTTATTGATTTTACACTGAGAGGAATTGAGAGGGACAGAGAGTTAGAAATGTCGATGAGAGAGAAACATCTACCAGCTGCCTCTTGCACACCCCCCACTGGGATGTGCTCGCAACCAAGGTACATGCCCTTGACCGGAATCGAACCCGGGACCTTTCAGTCTGCAGGCCGACGCTCTATCCACTGAGCCAAACCGATCCCGGCCCAGGCTGCAATTTTATAAAATTAAAAGAATTCTAGAAATGGATGGTTGTTTTGGTAGCACATTGTGAATACACTAGAGGCCTGACTGGGTGAGATGGGCTGGACATGCCCTGGAGCCCTCCTGCGATCCCTTCCCAGCCGCAATCTTGCACCAGTGGGGTTCCTTGGCCTGGCCTGTGGAATCAGGCCGAAACCAGCTCTCTGATGTCCCCCGAGGGGTCCTGGATTGCAAGAGCGCGCAGGCCAGGCAGAGGGACCCCACCGGGACACGATTGGGCTGGGGTGGGACTGAGGGACTGCAAGAGGGCTCCAGTGAATGTCCAGCCCTTCTCACTCAGTCGAGCTACAGCAACAAGCTAGCCTACCAGTCGACTGACTGGGCCATAGTGGTCAGTACATGTCATAGCAAGCAGTTGCATGGCTTTAGCATATCATTAGCATATTTTGCTTTGATTGGTTAAATGGATGGCCAGCCACTTAGCATATTAGGCTTCTATTACATAGGATCTGATACCATTAAACACTGTATATTTAAAAATGGTTAAGATGGTCTGGCTGGTATTGCTTGGTGGTTGAGATTGGACCTATGAACTAGGTCACCACTGGATTCCCAGTTAGGGCACATGTGGGTTAGATCCCCAGTATGGGGCCTTCAGGAGGCAGCTGATGAACAATTCTTGCTCATCATATATTTCTATCTCTCCCTTTCTCTCTGAAATCAATTTTTTTAAAAAAAGTTACTCTATCAGTATCTTATAAAAGTTAACATGCAGTTTGGGTTTCTAAAATAAAATAAAAATTAAAAATAAACTTATAAAAAATTCCTAGCTCAGCTAACAGTAATCCCTTGAATATTTAATCTTTCTCCTTCCTCATGAAAAGGGGTTAAGAGAATAACAAATATCTATGCTTTAAAATCCAGGCCAACAGGTCATACCTGATATCCACTCTAAGTTTAGGATAATACTGAGACACATATTTTCTGATGAGACTGTAGGAAGCTTCTTTAGGTTCACAAAGGCGAGTAAAGGCCAGGGGGAGGATATCCTCCAATTTTACTTGTGGTTCTGGATCCACTGCAGAATTCCTGTTCTGAAATGAAATATCAAAAGTTATCATTAGAGAATGTAGAGCTTTTTGTACAAATGCTTCTATATTCAACTCAAAGGCTTTTTCTAAGTTGGTTGCCAAATCAACCAACCAAACAAAATGATCATTATTTTCACATTCAAAGAAATCATATTATGGTGCTGCAATTTTACTTGTGTGGCAAAGTAAGATTCAAATTTCAGATTAGGAGCATTAAAAATACATATAAAAATAAAAAACAGGCTTGGTCTGTGTGGCTCAATGGTTGAGGGTTGACCTATGAACCAGGTGGTCTTGGTTTGATTCCCTGGTTTAACTTCCTGTCGGGGAACATGCCCAGATTGAGGGCTTGATCCCCAGTATGGGGCCTGCAGGAGGCAGCCGATCAATGATTCTTTCTCAACCTTAATGTTTCTCTCTCTCTCCATTCTCTCTGAAATCAACAAAAATATATTAAAAATAAATTTAAAAAAAATAATTCAACTTTATTGAAAGGCCTTAATTCATTAACAAACAATGAAAAAGTGTCATGGAGCACCAAAAAGCACTACATAGTTCATTTTGAAAGTACTTGCCAGTTTTATGAAAAAAGTATAAAAATTTTCAGGGTTGTGAAAATAAAGATGTAGAGGAATATTCATAATTTCATTTACTAACAGAGGAAATACTGGATATTTATTTCACTTTATTACTGTATACTTTCCATAAATGAAATTATGTATCTTGGCAAGGAGAGAAAGAGAAGAAAAACTGGCTCTGAGAATAGTTTTGGGGTATAATATTGAGTAGAAATATGTTTATTTTTTAGGGGGTGTGTGTGTGTGGGTTTTTTTTTTTTTTTTTTTTTTTGCCTCTTGTAGTTTACATTTCACAAAAAGTAGAATAATTTTATATAGCTTCCCATAACTTAACAGGGCAGTTAAGTCCACAGACTCTGGGGCTGAGTGCTTGGATTTGCACACTATCTATTCTGTTCACTAGGTGGGCAAGAATGAGTAAATTACTTGTAACCTCGCTAGGACTTAATAAAAAGGCAAACGTGGCACAGGGCATGGCCCAAAGTTAGTAGTAACAGTATCACAGTGAACAATCAAACTATGGAACAGACTTCTTACCTTTCTGTTTCTGGATTTTTGAGAGGTTTTTCTTGATTTCTGGACCACAACAAAACTCCCAGAAGCACCTTTCCCTTTTACCTAAAGTAAATTAAATTTAGTTGTATTAACGAACATTTTTGTTTTAAATTATTCTGGTATTCACATTTCTAACTTTATACCAGATAATAAGCAAATTACAGGGAATAGTAATACAAGAACTAATGTAAAATGCTGGTCATTTTGTCAAGAGAGAAGCAAACAAGCAATGGATTAGTCAAAAGACAGGACTGAATCATATTTATGGTACTATCTAGCTATATAATATTGAACAACCCTGTAAACCTTCAGCTTTTGTTTCCTCATCTACAAATTGGGGGAAGAATGCTATTGTGATACCGGATTGTCTATTATAATATAAACTACTCTCTCTCTCTCTCTCTCTCTCTCTCTCTCAAAAAAAAAAAAAAAAAAACCCCCATGGAAAGAAGGGACACAATCTGCTGGGGAAAATGAAAAATCTTCTGTCTTGAAAGGGCGACAGCTACTTGGCAAAAGTTTACAGCCTACTTCATCTCAGGCCAAACATAATGCTTCCCATGTTTGTGCATTACAGATTTTTCCTATATGTGGGAAAGGTTATGTAAGTCATACCACATATTTCCTTTCCATAGTTTACAAAGCACTTTCATAGAACTTTAAAGTTGATTTACATTAACCTGAGTCCTCTACACTCTAGCTTTACCTACAATGCTATGAACATAGCAATCTAGCTGAAATGCTTCCAGCTTATAAACATCCAGCAGAGGGTCAGGCTATGAGGCAAGAATAGATCACAAACCATTATTTTGATAAAGAAAAACACAAAGCCAACTCACAAATTGTGCTAACATACACAGTGATATGGGACAGGTCTTTGGTTCTAATTATATTGGTTAGATAATATCTTTTAATCTATGATTATTTTAAAGACCCACTTACATATCAGTTTGACATTTTGAGAAAGCTAGAATGTAAGCTCCATACAGCAGAAATCTGTTTTCCTCGCTGATGAGTCACCCTATACATACTGGTGGAATTAAGTATTGGTTGAAAGTTCCCAAAGAGTTTAAATGCCTGAGTGGCACAGAATTCTATATTAATCAATCTGGGCAGAAAGGTATAAAGGCAAGAGGACTCTGGGAATGCAGTGAACAGGGTCCTTAGATAACCACCTTCGCCAATCCCACGAGAACTCGGTAGTTACTTCATCCCTCGAACCTCTGAAGAAGGTTTAAAGTCCATTCTCGCTTTATATTTTCATGATTCTAAGCAACATTTTGATGTACTATGCAAAGTATCACAGATTTATGCTTGAAATCAATATTGGCATTAGTACTAGTTTCAATTTACTCTGGTTTCTTTGATGGTCCTAACAAACTTTAACAGTTTGAGCAAAGGTGAAGCTAATTTATAAGGGCAAACAAGTTTACCACATAATCAAGGCTTTAAAACTAACAAATCTAACACAAAAGCAATTATCTTTGGTGCTGTAATAAAAGGATTCCTTAACCTTGCTTCTCATCTACAGCACAAAGCCTCCAAAGAAAACCCAATTAAAAGTACAAGCAACTAGAAAATAATTACACTATCCTACTGCTTCTGCTCTAGGCTAGTTATAAAAGGTAACTGGCAGTGATTTGGAAACCTAGTTTTACACAGTAAAACTAGGTTAAGCTTAAGTATTTCATCATGTTAACTTATTTTTAACAAAAAAGATATAAAAAGCCTAAGTGTTACTAACTATGGACTTACATGATGGAATGATCTTATTACCAACCACTGTGTAATACCTGTTTGATGACACCTCTATTTAATTCTCTTTTCAGTGCTTGTTTGAGGAGGTAGCCTCTTCTCTCCAATTCCAGAGAAGGGTACTTATGGATGATATATTTCCGAATAGCAACAACTGATGCACCACTCTTCTGGAAGCATGCCTAGAAAACAATTTACCAAACCATACGCGTTACTTTCAACTAGCTGCTTTTCTTTAGACAGAGAAGCTGACACATGTTTTCAAAATAAATTATTTTGGAAGTGAACTTAATAATGAATGAAAAAATGGCAGGAACGAATGAACAGTACTTCAGGTAAGTTCAGTTCATCATGGCTGCGGAGAAAAGAAGAATTAAAATATTTCTGCAACAATAATTTAAAAAATGTTCAAAAGAGCCGAAACCGGTTTGGCTCAGTGGTAGAGCGTCGGTCTGCGGATTGAAGGGTCCCAGGTTCAATTCCAGTCAGGGGCATGTACGTTGGTTGTGGGCACATCCCCTGTAGGGGGTGTGCAGGAGGCAGCTGGTTGGTGTTTCTCTCTCATCGCCGTTTCTAGCTCTCTCTCTCTCCCTTCCTCTAAAAAATCAACAAAAATATATTTTAAAAAAATGTTCAAAAGAGAAGATACAACATGTGAATAACATTTTGTGTTAATGAAGAACTTCATTCCATTTTAATTCTATTCTATATTTAGAAGACAATCTTTAGCACTAAAACAAGGAAAGAGAACACTGGGCCACAGATCTCGCCTATTATCTGGAATGAGTTTTGGCACACCAGGACCAGCATTTCTCTGCAGGCTTTGTGTGAATGTCAGCAGAGAACATAAGCGAAGATAATCTGAATAAATGGCATAAAACTGAACTGATAGCCCTAACTGATTGATGTTTCACTCTCATTGATGTTTCTAACTTTCTCTCCTCCCTTTTTCTCTGTAAAAAAACCAATAAAAAATATTTTTTTAAAATAAAATAAAACTGGACCTTTAGGTAGCAAAGTTTTTTTTTTAATTTATATTTTATTGATTTTTTATAGAGAGGAAGAGAGAAGGATAGAGAATTAGAAACATCAATAAGAAAGAAACACGGATCAGCTGCCTCCTGCACACCCCTTAATGGTAAGGGACAAATTGTTAAAAATCAGGACTGTCCCACCAAAAGCGGGACATCTGGTCACTTTACCTAATGGGGATGTTCCCGCAACCAAGGTACATGCCTTTGACTGGAATAGAACCTGAGACCTTTCAGTCTGCAGGCGCTCTATCCACTGAGCCAAACCGGTTTCAGCAAGGTAGCAAAGTTTAAGGGGCATTTTGGATAACAACAGGACATTAAATTGCAATTTAACATGCCCTCTCCATTTCTATTTATCTATATTTCATTTGACTAATGCCCATGGAAAACTTAAGCAGGTCATTATGTCACTTAAGGCAGAAAACTTTTTCAAATGCTATACATTCTGAAGCACACTTAAACAGCACCTGTTATTTATCTCATAGTCTAGTCCTGTGGTTGGCAAACTGCAGCTTGCAAGCCACATGCGACTCTTTGGTCCCTTGAGTGTGGCACTTCCATAAAATACCACGGCCTGGGCGAGTCTATTTTGAAGAAGTGGCATTTGAAGAAGTTTAAGTTTAAAACAGCTGGCTCTCCAAAGAAATTTCAATCGTTGTATTGTTGATATTTGGCTCTGTTGACTAATGAGTTTGCCGACCACTGATAGTTTCCACTGATAGTTTAACAATTTTCTGTTGCCATTGTCTATATACTAAACATGGCGCATACTCACTCTCTTTGGGTAAAGACTTGATTGTTATCTTACACTACATTATAGGAAACAGACTTCAAAATGGCTTTCTCCTATTCTCTTTTAGGAAGCAGAGCAACATTTCTGATGTCTGGACAGGAGTATACCATTTTCAAATAAGTAAAAGATGCAAAGAATAAACCTATGTAAACTTCTGGAAGTAAAAACTTGCCTTAATGGCCTCAGTCAGGATCGCATCCATCTTGGGACGTGGGGAGGAGGCCAGTGGTGTTTGTTTCTGGGCCCTTGCGAGCTGGCTGGCAGAAAGGGTAGCCCAAGAAGGTATTGTTTTTTTCACTTTCTTCTCCTTTTCTTTAGACTGATCTTTCTCTCTTTAAAATAAAGAATTGTTATTGTGTAAAATAAACTTTCCAGAAAGGGGCATAAAGTTAGAAAGAGAAAGACAGAAGATGGGTAATAATTAATGCTTTAATTTACTTCCACACTAAGATGACACATATTTTAACATCTTACTAAATAAAACATTAAAAAAAATAAAATAGGGTGCTGCCCTGGCTGGTGTTGCTAAGTGGTGTTACTCTCCTTTCCACACCCTCTAAAAATCAATGGGAAAATATCCTTGGGTGAGGATTAACAACAACAAATTTCTAGATTTTATGTATTCCCATGAAACTGGGATAAAGGATTCTCTGAGGATTACATCTAAAAGGTATAGTTATTACTAAATTATCCCCCCCCCCTTTTTTTAACTGATTTTTAGAGAGGAAGGGAGAGAGAAACAACATGAGCAGCTGCCTCCTACACATCTCCTACCAGGGATCAAGCCTGCAACCTGGTCCTGTGCCCTGACCCTGAATAAAACTGCAAACTTTTAGTGTACGCGATTCTCCAATACTTACTGATTTTTGTTGTTGTTGTTAATACTCACCCAAGGATATATTTTTGCCATTGATTTTTTGGAAAGAGTGGAAGGGAGGAAGGGAATAGGGGACAGGGAGGGGATAAACATTGATATAACAGTGACACATCAATTGGTTACCTCTCACACACGCCCCAACCGGGCCAGGGATGGAACCTGCACCTACCAGGAATTAAACCTGGGACCCTTTGGTACAAAGGCCGACATTTAACCACTGAGGACATGGCCAGGGCAAGGTCAGATTTTTGTAATCATGTTTCATTTTAAATCATGTCAATGCTTAAAATATCAAGACACTCCCACAATGAATTATAAGCCCAGAAACACAATCCAAAGCCAAAAGGAATGAATTTTGGATTATCTAAACCATTGTTTTGACAATCAATATGTATTTTAATAGGCCATACATCTACATAATAAACCTATTTCAAATGGTAAGTCCAAAACATAAAAAAAGCAAATATCTAGCATAAATCAATGTTATGATACTTTAAAACAATGTTGTCTACAGCTTGTCTGGTGCCGCTCAATGTTCGAGCATCAACTCATGAACCAGGAGGTTATGGTTTGATTCCCAGTCAGGGTACATCTGATTGTGAGTTCAATTCCCAATAGGGGGCATGCAGGGGACAGTTAATCGATGATTCTCTCTCATTATTGATGTTTCTAGCCCCGTCTCTCTCTCCTCCCCTTCCTCTCTCTAAAATCAATAAAAACATATTTTAAAACAAACTAAAACAACCTTATCTACAGTCCTTTTACATACTTTAATTACATATAGCAAGAACACATAACTCCTTACTCCTTTTTGGTTTCCTCAGAGGGCTTGTTTTCTTCCTTCTCTGCATTCTCAGGTTCCCCCTTTGGCTGTTCTGTCTCACTAGATGTAGCAGGTGGAGTTTCATTCTCTTGTTCTTCTACAGTGGAGACAGATTCCTCTGAACTTACGTCTGGTTCTAAAAAAAAATGAGGTGAGCAGAATTGCACCAACTAGACATATTAGAGTTTGAGTCAATAAAAAGGTAAAGGTTTATCTTATTAAACAAATGATACAAATGTCCCAATTAATCGACAGATTCTAAAATGAACAAATGACTTATGAGTACAGTTTTCTTTCCTTATTTATGTCATTCAAGTTGACTATGTAATTGTGTAAGAAATGGATACAGCCGAAACCGGTTTGGCTCAGTGGATAAAGTGTCGGCCTGCAGACTGAAAGGTCCCAGGTTCGATTCCGGTCAAGGGTATGTACACTGGTTGTGGGCACATCCCCAATGGGGAGTGTGCAAAAGGCAGCTGGTCGATATTTCTCTCTCATTGATGTTTCTAGCTCTCTATCCCTCTTCCTTCCTCTCTGTAAAAAAAAAAAAAAAAAAAATCAATAAAATATATATTTAAAAAAAAGAAAAAAAAAAATGGCTACAGACCAGGAAGTTACACAAGAGAAACTTATTTTACCCCAAATGAAGTATCTATACTAATAAAAGAGAAAAATGCTAATTGACCATACATTCACTATGCCCACAGCCAATCAGAGCAAGTATGCAAATTAACCCAACAAAGAGGGGGTTAATTTGCATATGCAGAGGGAGGGAGGAGTGAAAGCTGAAGGCAGCATAGAAGAGGGAGGAAAAGTGGAAAGCAAGGCAGCTGCTGGAGGGAAAGCGCTGGCGGCATGTGCAGGGCGGGATGTGCAGCAGTGGTGCATGCAGCGGCAGAGGCAGCTAGGCAGTAGCCACGGAGGCAGTGGCGTCCGCAGGGCTGCGGGTCAGGCATGCGGACAGTGCATGCGGGCGGGGTGGCCATCGGAGAGGTAGGGGGGAAGGCGCAGGAGAGGTGGCAGTAGCAGGAGGGAAGCCCACCAGAAGTCTTGCAGGAATATTCCTGCAATGGGTCCTAGTCTACAATATTGATGAAACTCAGAATTGAGATTAGCCATTTCATAACTTAACAGGTAATAATGTCTAATAAGGGAATAAGTAACAAAATTAAGATGTATTTTCTTTTTTTTAAATATATTTTTATTGATTACAGAGAGGGAGATAAAAACATCAAGAATAAGAATTATTCATCAGCTGATTCCTGCATGTCCCCCGCTGGGGACTGAGCCCCCATCCAGGGCATGTGGCCTGAACAGGAATTGAACCGTGACCTGGTTCATAGGTTGATGCTCAACTACTGAGCCATGCTGGCTGGGCCACTCTTTTTTTTTTTAAAACATGTTTTGCCAAAACTGGTTTGGCTCAGTGGATAGAGTGTCCACCTGTGGACTGGGAGGTCCCGGGTTTGATTCTGGTCAAGGGCATGTACCTTGGTTGTGGGCACATCCCCGGCAGGGGGTGTGCAGGAGGCAGCTGGTGGATGTTTCTCTCTCACCGACATTTCTAGCTCTCTATCCCTCTCCCTTCATCTCTGTAAAAAAAATCAATATTAAAAAAAAAAGAAAAAGATGAACCCTTATTTTGCCCATATGGTCTGGACATGACATACTGACAGGTACTACTTCTCTTATCAATTGTTCTCCCAAAACAGTTAGGTATGAAAAAAAAATTAAGTTCAAGGAAATTTATGGGACACTCCAAATTGGAGTAAACACTTTTGCCTTCTGAAGCGGTTCCCCGCTTTTCTTTACCTGGCTTTGCTTCTTCCCCTTCAGCAGGCTTGCTTTTGGGAGGAGTTTCCCGGGTAGAATTCACAGTTCGTCGAATCGGCATGGCGCTATCTTCCACCTTCTAAGAAAGGAGACAGCATTAAAAAATTCCCTTTCCCCTTTCCCAAGGGGCCTAACAGGGTGTCAGAAGATGGTGAATTCTAAGTCCACTCCCAAATCTGATGCAAATTAATTTGAACAATTTTTTGAAGTGAAATATGATTTTAAGTACTTTCAAAATACTTTCCTTTAGCAAGAATTTCCAAAGGAAACAACTAATTATACTTGATTTAGAATAAATATAGAAGGTTGGAAGTTTTCTTAGAAATTAGAAGGGAAAGGAGAGATGAAAAGAATTTTGTAGATTTTGTTTTTTCAGATTCACAATCCAGATTCCCCAAAGTAGGGGAAGGAGCATATACCAAGAGGACCCAGTAGAGCCTGAAGTCAAGGACTGATCCGAGAGTGAGCTTCAAGAATATGTCAGCCCCTACCTCACCTAACTTGTCCGCGTGGATCAGCTGAGCTCCTACTATAAGTGGGAGTGCCTTAGGATGGACGAGTTCACCTTGAGACATATCAGTCGCCATTTAAAATAATTTCTAGGCCCCAGTACAGGTTACACTCTGAAGCCTCTGCGTTAACCACAAGGATTTTTTCCTAATGGTTTCAGTGTGGTGAAAAGTCAACCTAAAGCACAGAAAAAACCTGTATGAAGATTAACAGAAACAAAACTGAACTAAAACATCTACATTTAATATACATGCAAAGGGAACAAAAACTTATCTAAAATACGTAAGAGTTAAATGATAGATGACTTGGTCAGTTATTCAGAAAGATAAAATCTCTATCAAAATACAGACTATGAAAAGCAGCGACTAACAAATGCACAAGCCACAGCAGCTGTTGCACCTTCCACATGAACACAAGCAACAAGGACAAGAAAGCTCGTAAGGAACCAAGTGCCACCCCATCCTGCTACCATCAGGAACTTAGAAAGAAAAGAATAAGATTAAAGAACAGTTTAGTCAAATTTTACTTAAAGATCAACTAAAGAGGGAAACTTATTGTTACTGTTCTCAAAAGGGTCAGAAAAATTACCTGTAACCTTAACTCCATCTTCACTAAAGAACACAAGGGGCAAAAAAACTACTGAAGAATGTAACTTGCTAAAAGTCTCCAGCACAGAGAAGCAAATTTAGACCATCACCTATAAAAACACGTATGCTTCTAAGACTTTGTCATATTTTTAATGGAAGCAAAACTACACAGAATATAATTAAATGTTCAAAGATAAAATCCATGTCACTAAAATTACCTGATCATTAATACCATCTGCCCCTGCCAGAAATCTCAATGACACATTATAATCCATCCACAACATGAAAAAATGATCAGTTAAGTGTTTATACCTCTGTGCTATTAAACATTAACATGGAGTTGATAGGCTAGTCTACTTTAAATTCTATCCCTGTCTAGGAATTTAAGAGCTTTCCATTTGTCAGGTAACAGTCCCAAGCTAAAACAACTGGGACAAATCCAAAACATTCAGACAGGGAATGCTTCCACATGTACAAGGAAAATCTTTTTATGGACACAACAGGAACAGTACCAGATTTGTGAATTGTCAATCAGCTGTAAGGAAAACTGAAAAAATTCAGGATAGTAAAAAGAGGGCCAAGTTGGGTTTAAGGGCATTATTTACTTTTCTGAAACCTAAAAGTCTATCTTGTAATACTTTCAATATATAGATCTTCTCATTCATCCACTAGCAATTAGGTAGTAATATATTTCCATAGATCAAAACAAAACAACTAAATAAAACTGCTTTTATTATGTGAACACTATACAGAAGTAAAATATAATCAGGTTATTTTGGTAAAATGATATTGCTAATGAATTCATCTTTCTTAACCCACTAGCTAGACTAAAAATGCTATTGTGAAGTCAACAAAACCTTTAGTCATCTCTAATTCATAGGATATCTTTAAAAATATTTTCTCTGTAAACAAAATACTGAAAAAAGTGTCAAAGCCTTTCCAGACAACTCTGTGCTTACTATTATAATTACTAAAAAATTAGAACAAACAGCCGAGACCGGTTTGGCTCAATGGTTTGGCTTGGGGACTGAAGGATCCCGGGTTCGATTCCGGTCAAGGGCGTGTATCTTGGTTGTGGGCATATCCCCAGTAGGGGGTGTGCAAGAGGCAGCTGATCGATGACTCTCTCATCGATGTTTCTAGCTCTCTATCTTTCTCCCTCCCTCTCTGTACAAAATCAATAAAATATATTAAAAAAAAAAAAAAAAAAAGAACAAACAGGTTAAAAAAGGGAGGGGGCACAGGAAGCTACATCTGTCAAAGTGATAAAATTGACTGAAATCAGGGCAACAACAGGCACATGGTCCATAAAGACATCAGACCTTGTTACTGTAAGGACAAGAATGACAGTTTAAATTAGACCAGATAAGGAATATGCCCAGCCCTGGCCAGGTGGCTCAGTTAGAGGGTCCTCCCCTACACCAACGGCTGTGGGGGTTCCATCCAGAGTTGGCAACTGAACATTGTCTCTCCCTCTCTAAAAAATCAATAAAAACATATCCCCTCAGGTGAGGATAAAAAAAAAAAAAAAGGTTGGAATAATCTCAGATAAGCAGAGAAATAGCTGATTTGCCCCCACCCTATCCTGACATTCTTCAGTCCTCCCAATTAGCACCCCCCTTTTTCACTAACCTCACATCCCACCGCTAGATGGACCACTCTGCTCTGTCAACCTCCGACAGACCTGTGGCCCTCAGGCTGTTCCTTGCTCATCCCTTATCAGTGTTTGCACTTGCTCTCTTAAACTGGAACTCTTTTCCTAGAGGTTTCAATTCAATGTTATCCCCCATCAGACAAATCTCCCACGGCTCTTAGTCTTCTTCAGGTCTCTTTATAGCATTATCACAACCTAAAATTCAATATATTTCTGTTTACTTGTTTAGTATATATCTCTCCAATGGAATGTAAGCACCAAAAGGGCTAAGACTTAAATTCACCAATGTATTCTCAGCACCTAGAAATGTCCAAACATGGTGGGTGCTGGATAAATATTGGGGGGGAAAGTTGAATGAACAATGGCATCTGATAGTGCTTAATACTAAATCCAATATATGTAAAGAACATATTATTTGAGTTAAATGTCTCAGCTCTGACTTCCCTTTGTAAAGGTGACAAAATCTAAAGCTTCACTTTATAGTACTTTCTTTAGCATAGGCTGCTTTAGTAAGTTCACTGTTCATCAGAAGAGCTAACAAAACTAGATGAATAGTTAATTCACTCTGCCCTAACACCATCATGTACCTATTAATTAAATTTTTGTGCTGCACTTCTGAGTGATCAGACTTTAGGCTGCCTCACTTGTTCCCTGCCAGAGATCTTATCTAGCTGTTTCACTGCTGCATACTTGCAGTCTAAGAACATACCAGGCACAGAATGTGTTCAAAAAAGATTTGTTGAATGAAAAAAAAGGATGAAGCTTATTATAGTTTTCACCTGGGTTCCTCTATGTGCCCAAAAACCTGAGTTTACCTGTGGTCCTTCTCTAGTCATCAGTCTGATTTGTTCTTTTTTTTTTTTTAATTTAATGTTAGATTAACAATACAATAATTTGCTTTTGTCAAGGGAAATGCAAGTTATTTTAATACACGCAATAAAAAGAAAATTGCAAAAGATGTACAGAATTTCAGCATTTTAGATAGCTTTCTCTACATTAAGAGAAAGCAACAAATAGGAGCTTAACAATCTATTTCAGTTTATTGATATCCTTGATTTTTAAGTATGCAATACATTCTAATGTCATCAGCTAAGCAAGAAATAGATAAAAAAAATTTCCAATCTCAGTCTTTCCCTATATTTGGACTTAATTTCACACTTTGGTAAATCAGTATGTCCTTAACTCGTGTCTATCTTGGGAACAGATACTACGGCCACTACATGCCTTCCCTCAAAAGACAATCACTGTCTACACAGGATTTTCACCTTTATAGGAAGAGTTCTGGACACTTCCTCAATCTTCGTAATAACATTAAAAGCAAAGCAAAAAAACAACAACAAAAAACCCTTTATGATATTGTTTCTACTTTGAAACACAACACATTAAACTTTTGAAAGGAGCAATAAAAGTATTAAAAAGCTCCTAATAATTTAACACCTATGCCAGATAAAAACAAAGTTTAAGTATGTTCCCCCAACAAGATGACTGGCCTAACGTCACGCTAAGGTCCCAGGCGAATCCTACACGCCTTTCTAACTGCATTCCCACCCCTCGCCGGAATGCCTCACCGGGGACCCCGCAGGGTGAGACGGAGGGACTGACGGCGAAGGCGGCGGTCAGGTTCACCCTGGCCGGCCCTCTGTGCCGGGCGAAGCCTCCGGCCACAGACACTGGTCCGTGAGGTGTCCACACTGGGGCCTCCGTCTCTCTACAAACGCTCACACTCACAAGACTGACTTGTTAATTAAAACCGCATCCTCTAAGGGGCGGCGAGCACCGAGCTCTAGGAACGCCAAACGGGAAGAGGGAAGCTTAGGTCCGCGGCGCGGCGGCTCGGCGGCGGCGGGGCCCGGACAGCGGCGCCCGCGCCCCGCAGCGCTCGCCCGGCCCGCGGAGGCCCACGCGGAGGAGAGGACAGCGGAGACAAAGAGGCGGCAGCGGCCGGTGCGGTGCGCGAGCAGAAGGCGGGGGCAGAGCGGAGCCAAGATGAAGGCAGCGAGCGAGGCGAGTGACGCGGGGATGCAGCGGCGGCGGCGGCGGCGGACCCCGAGGGGCGGCGGCAGCTCCGGGCTGGCGCTCGGGCATGCTCGCGACCCAGGCCGGCGCCACCGCCCGCGCGACGCCAGCAGCGGCGGGCCGTGATCGCCAGGGTCCGCGCACTCACCACAGGAAGCTCCGTAATGGCGGCGGCGGCGGCAGTGGCGAAGAACCCGGGAGGCGGGCCCGCCGCAGCCAGTCACGGCCACCGGCATCTTTCGAACCGACTATGAGAACCGCTGAGGGGAGTGGGGAGCCAGGGGGGAGGGCGGGACCTGCGCGCCAGGCCCCCCGCGCGGCCTCGGCGCATGCGCACACACCTCAGCCAATGGGAGCGCGGGGGGCGGGCGCCGGCGCAGGCGCGCTGGGACGCAAGGCCCCGGACCGGGGAAGCGCTCTCCCCTCCTCCACCCCCCTCACCCGGGTACAAACAAAACAAGGGCGGGAACGCGCGCCGGAGGGCCCCCGAGGAAGCGTCAACCACACGGGCAGGGGGCTTGGGCGCAGGGGGAGGAGGGGAAGTAGGGGCGGAGCGGTCGCGGAAGGCAGACAAAAGGCGCCACCTCCGGGGACCCGAGGGCCCCGCCCCCTTTTCTCGGGAAGCGGCGTCGGCACCCCGGGCCAGCGGCCTCCGCCACTCGCCTTCGGGGTCCAGCGAGCCGGTGCCCGCTCCCCGCCCGCCCGCCCGCCCCGTCCTCCGTTACCTCCGCGCTTTCCCCTTCCCGGTGCCCGCGTCCCGCACGGCCTCTCGGCGTCACTCCCGCTGCCACTCGTCGCCGCCGCCGCCGCTGTCCTCCAG